GACTCTACCAAACAAAGTTATCAATAATCACGATTTCGTTAATCGCCCGGGGCGGACGACGGGTTTAGCAGTCTCATAATAAAGATATAATATCACCGCCGGCGTGCTCTCCCGGGGGTGACGAATCGCTCGACCGATTAACTCTTAAACGACAAATAGAGGAACTCCCTTCCCGCGACCCTCGCGCGGGGAAAACTAAGCCACGACTTCCGCTAATTATTCGAGGGAGCGGCTACACAAACATCGCCGTCCCCCTCGCACTCTGCGTTCCGATGCACATCTCTGCAAAAACTCGGTGAAAACCTAAAATTTTCCCATCTCCCGACGGGTGGTCATATTTCTTCCCTCTCGCTCCCATTAAACAGACCGTAAACGCTTTCCTTTTTTCACGCCCTCACTCTAATAGAAAGGCAAATTACGAGCTTACGGGCGCGGACGGGTGGCGATGTACGAAACCGCCGCGGCGTGCCTTGTGCGTCCCTCTTGCTCCCGCACGCTCCCGCCGCCAGCCGCCTCGCTCGGGAAAACGGGGGTCGACTACGTGAACTTTCACGTCATATGTTTTGTACCTACTGGCCACTGGCCGCCACTTCCGACACACAATGTGGATAGACGTTGTTCTTATTTGATCGTATTACAATGTGGAAAATTAAGGTTACTAATTTAAATGGATATATTGTATAACTAATATATAATATAAAAAAGAGAATAATGGAATTTCTTTCGTAATAATTTATCGCATCTTAGTCAGTCGTAACCTATACTATAGTCTAATACACTTTCTAAGAACGGCGCAAATGCGTCTTATGCAAAGGGAAAACAAAATCTCTGCCGATAGGTTATATATATAACAAATAAACTATGAATGTCTCGATATGCCTCTCTGCCGATACGATACCGATACCGATGCTCTTATGAAAATATCGGCGATAACGATACCGACACGCCTATTGAATTCAAAAATGAAGGTAAAATAAATAAAATACAAGTCAGGTTATTTTTTAATTAATATAAAATAAAAATAACAGGACAAACTAAATCAAACCGTTTAAAAATGTGACAGTTTCGTTTGCAACAAAATAGACGAGACAACACGCGCATTATATTACATTTTTTGTTGAATCGGCCGTAAAAATATCTCCCATGACAATATATCGGCAAACTTCGAGTATCGCCGATATATCCGCATCGGTTCGGTATCGGATGCATACCTAAAATAAACACTTACAGCTAACTCCAGTCAATGAAGGCTAAAGAGTTGTTTCACCTAAAGAATGACAAACGTGAATTAGGAATTAGACGTTTTTAAATTATAATAATAGGGTAACTAAGCGCTTAGGAAACGTCTATAAAAAAACTTCCAATATACTTCACCAGCCAGTAATAAGGCCTCATAGTCTATATATATAATGGATCTCAGTACTTTTTTAAACTAGAACACAACAGTGGTAACACTACTCTTTAAATGACAAAGATAGATATGGATAGGTAAAAAAAAACTCTACTACTTTATAATACGGTAAATTTGTTCATTAGTAATAGATTTTCACACATACATGACGTGACTGCAAACGTTAAAGTATGAAATAACAAAAGATCCTCTGACATTTTAATGTCTACATATAAACGACAAAATTCATGTTAATTCAGAATGCCACGATAATTCGGCGTTAATAAAGAGACGGTACAATTGTCCCCACCACGGGTCGACGAGCGCAAGTGAGTTGTAAAGAAGTCACATCAGAGGCGGCTGACGAGCGCCTCGCGTGACGTCACACGGTAAAATGTCTGCGCGGTGCGGCGGTGGTAGCATTTAATTAAAGAATATACAAGTGCTAATTGCAGGCTTGTAATAGAAAATAAAATTTACGATAAGACTTATACAATATATACAAACACTGTGAATGTTATGTTAGCTTCAAAAGGAGAAAATGGTAACCATAAAATAGAAAAATAAATATTTTTTATTTAGATTATATGTTCTCAAACTAGTATCTATTACCGTGAGCTTGCACTGACGCGATTTTCACAAATAAACATGTTTTAGACACTGTTTTCTTCAATTTATCAAAAAGCGTTTGCATAGTCAAATAACATGTTGTAGTGAAATATGTTTGACAGTATTATTTATTGCATATTTTAACTATATTATATCTTCATAACTACAGAAACAAAATTTTTGAAAACAAATATGTAGAAATATTGTCATGTTGAAAGATAAATTTGAATATCTGTTGAAAAATTTATACAGTTTTTGTGAGTGCGAACGCTACCATCAACAAAACATGTTGTGTGATTTATTTTAAGCGATTTGTTTCATAACATTACGTGTTGAATGTTTCTCAGCGGAAACGTACTGTTAGAAGACATTTTAAAGTGACTGTAGCATAATGGTTAATTGTACGGACTGTAAAACTAATAAGTCAAACCGAATTCATCTTTCGAACCTACTCTTGGCTTAGTTGGAGTGGTTAACGGAATAAATATCTTAAGAAAGAATATTACTAATATCTATTTCTTTAATAATAGTCTTTTTAACTTCCCGCTAAGAAAATTGAAAACTTTGCAAAAATAAGGAAGTTATTGGTTTCACCCCGATTTTCGAAAATAGAGTTTTCATCAGATCTTGACGTTTTGAGATCCCAGGAAGCTATTCTGACTAATTTCACGTGGACGTCCGTTCGGATGTATGTGTATGTGTGTGCGTGTGTGTGTAACTTTGTAAACCCTTCACAACCTTTGAAAGTCTTGATCGATTGAGATGCGGTTGCGGCGTTCTAAAGATCTCAATGTGGTGATTTCTTATATTTACGCGAACATTGCACATGATTAAAACTACTTTTACGGATTTTATAGCGTTTATTTTTTACTTTTTATTTTTAATTCCCGACGTTTCGGGCGCTTTCCAGCACCCATGGTCACGGGGGACTGAGATGACTGACGTCCCGATGTCATTGTTAAACCCGGAGTACCTTCAGCTTTTTTAATTATTGTTTATGGTCCGATCTATGCAAAATGAACTGACTATGTCCTGAGGTCTTGCAGTGGTATGCTTGGGTTTAGTTTTAATTTTATTGATTATAGGATCCCTAGCAGGTGGTAGTACCCAGCCTCCTTCTCTATTGAAATTAGGATGTTTTTTAATTTCAATAGCCTCACGTATCATCCTTGGTAGGAACTCAACGTTCCGGGAAGTCTGCAGTTTGTGATCATATCCTAGACGGCCCCAACCATTACATCAGATTTGATAGACCACAAATCCTCGCGAAAGAACACCGATTCCTACCAAGGATGATACGTGAGGCTATTGAAATTAAAAAACATCCTAATTTCAATAGAGAAGGAGGCTGGGTACTACCACCTGCTTGGGATCCTATAATCAATAAAATTAAAACTAAACCCAAGCATACCACTGCAAGACCTCAGGACATAGTCAGTTCATTTTGCATAGATCGGACCATAAACAATAATTAAAAAAGCTGAAGGTACTCCGGGTTTAACAATGACATCGGGACGTCAGTCATCTCAGTCCCCCGTGACCATGGGTGCTGGAAAGCGCCCGAAACGTCGGGAATTAAAAATAAAAAGTAAAAAAATAAACGCGATAAAATCCGTAAAAGTAGTTTTAATCATCTCAATGTGGAATAGATTTGGTGATAATATGAAGTGATTCGGACGAGTAGATTTTGAGAAATCTCAAAAATGAAAACGCTCTTAACCTCAAAAAATGACGTAGAATGCCGTTTGAAAATAAAAATCGGTTCATTCGTTCGTGAGATATCGTAGGAGAAAGAATTTGAAAAAAAAACACGTTTTTTTTTACAACATAACCTCGAGACTTCGCAACCGAGCACGTTTTTGCTACTTACATTATTTGTAGAACTTAAACAATTGCGTGGAATGCCGTTTTGAACATAAAAATCGATTTATCCGTTCATGAGATAGGGGAGAAGGAGGTAAGGCGGGGTAGCGGGTAAGAGGGGTACCCAACGAAATTAACAATAAGATTAACCAATCACGATCGTTCATACATCGTTTGACGCGCTGCCGTGGTACTTCAATTACTAACTTCGTGGTAAGTCAATCGCCCGGTGGTTAGTAGTTCACAAGAGCAGTGTCGAAAAAATTCAAAAAAAGTGTTTTACTGCAAATTGCTTATCATATTTTCTTTTGGTTTGACACGTGACTGTGGTTTGTTAAATAACGTTAGCTGGTGAGGTGTTGCTGTGATTGACACTTCAACTAACCTGTAATAAGTTAGGCGTTGTGTTTCCTTAAGATTGTTGGCTGTTTTTTTTTTTTCTTTTTTGTTTTTCTTTTATAAAATGGCTTTGCAGGCAAGATAGGGTACCCCGTTACCCCATCTTGCCCCCAATGAGAATAATTTTGTTTTTATTTGTTTCCCGTAAAAGTGGGTTTGTTTTTTGTTCAATTAACCACTATGTCTACAGCAGTAAATGGAATTCGTAAATGTTAGATTTGGTCATATAATCCAAACGTTAACAGATTTTGCCCCTTCATTGACAACCAAGATCCAGTTAAATGACGGTCAAACTTCCACAAACCAAGAAGTATTTCAAGATATAAGTAATGTCACTTCTGCCCAAAATTCAGACCCAGTAGTTGCACAAACAGCTGATAATGCAGTGACTTTTAGCAGAGACGTTGTTGACTCTTTGCCAGACTATTCCCACTGGAATCCCAGTCTAGTTAATCAGGAATCAGCGCCGTATCAAACTAAAGACCACCCGGAGACATCAGAAGCAGAACAAAATGAATCCGACCATCAGACACATTCACTCACACCAGCTGAAAACCCTGTTTGTCAGGAACCAGAGGCATCACAACCAGCTAATGTGCCTAGATGCGATAAAAGCGATAGTAGCTTTATTTTGACTCTTTACTCTTCCACCTACTAAAATGTTTAAGAAGTCTGAGAACTCTGCTGAACAAAAAAAAAGCTAGAGAAAATAGAAACAAAAAAGAGAAAAGATGAAAAGATGAAGAAAAAAAAGATGAAAACTACTACGAAAGCTCAAAATAAAAAATCTAAGAAGAACAGCCGATCAGTGAAAACATCAAAACGACGAAGAGTCTCATCATGTGGAGATGAAAGTGAAGAAGAGGAGGACACACCATGTATGTATTGTGAGGAAGTATATTCCGTTTCCATTGAAGGGTGGATATCATGCTCATTATGTGGAAGACGGGCTCATAATGGCTGCGCAGGAATAGATGATGATGATGAAGCCACCCATGTCTGCGAGTTCTGCCAGCTCAAATAATCATCTTTCTCCGTGATCATGCTCATTACCCAATCTTACCTCTGGGGGGTACCCCATCTTACCAGCACCATGGGGCAAGACGGGGCAAAATACCTTTTTTTATATTATTGACCTTTAAAGCTTAAGTACTCCATCTTGCCACCATATATATCGAAGAATTTTTTTGAAAAAAAAAAAACTTTTCCTAACTAAGCGGGAAGATTCAGGGTTTCGTATAAAAACTATTTATAATATTTCGTATACCCGACCCGATACATAAAAACCCGTAATATTTTTCCATGTATATGTGTAAAGATGGCCACCAGTAGGTACCAGTAGCCACGTTTACTAATACTTAGATCCGACATTCCATCTCGATAACAAACTAAGAGGATCTACATAATGAACACAATAATATAAAACAACAATATCTACAGAACGAATACATAAAGCGTAAAATTCATGAGTGATGAAAGGTCGTCGCGAGCTCGTTGATACGAATTGCCGTCATTTTCGAGTTATCGACTTAGCCCCGTTACGGAAATGGAAAATAATGACTTCATTGCTGGGTGCTGCCGTCAAATCAAATTTGGACGCATTAGTCGTTATTTGTACACGAACTTATGCCCGCTCGTTATGCCCTTTCTTTCATATCCCTAATCGACATTTCTTGGTTACCAAAGTAGCTTTGTGAAATGAATATGTTCCGTACTGGAACAGATTATTTATATATTATGTTTTTTGTTTCCCTTTTTTTTTCGTATATAATAATAAGTACAAGGCAACACAATTTCGAAGATAGTATTTTTTCTATACTTCTATTAAATTCATTGGGTTGGCGATCAACTGTTCATCCTGAATGCAGCCATAAGCTTGCGGGTTACGGCTCTCTGTGCGACACAAGCGCCATATCGATTGGCGGCAATTGTGATTAGTCGAATTGAAACTACCGACGCGCACGCATACAAATATACTGCGTGTCTCTCAAGCTCATCTCTCAAGATCTCTTTCACCCTGAAAGTGTTGTGCTTGTGCCCTATGGACTCGTGTGCGATACACTATGCTGAACCTTGATACTACGATCATTGCAACGACTGCCCCGAGCTCCTATAGCCAGCCCCTGGATTCGTGGTAGCAGGGAGATTGTAGCGGTAAGTCGCCAAACCCAGTAGAATATCGTACAGAATATTACGTACCGATAAGATTTATAAATTAAACAAGTATTTTTTTAAACGTGTGGTCGTGGTGTAACAATATCCACTAATTTATTTAATCCCGTGGGTACAACTCAAAGTAATAGGTAGGTAAAGGCTTATGTTCAGCAGTGGATTTATATAGGCTGTGATGGATGGATGATTTTTTTTTCAAATAAAATAATTATTTTATAACGGTTCAGTACGGCAGGTTCTAAGCATTAGGCTGTGGTGCTATGGGATTTTAAATAACCAAGTCTATGGGAGAACAAATGTAATGTTTTAAAAGAAATAAAAAAGAATAAAAGGAATAGGTTCCGGTAATAGATAATTGCGCCCTCCTTTGGCTTAGATCTGTGAGAGCCATCTATATGATCGGTATAGATAATGGTAAATAATCAATCCAAACCGGACTCAATCCAAATTTCACAGAGAAGAGTGGTGACAACAGCCAATATAAACAATGATTATCCTATCATTTATTAAAGTATTTTAGGGCAAGGAAGTATTCGTCCTACCACGATGCGTGTTGGCAGACTTCACGACGTAAAGTTTTTCTGATGATGTTTTCCTTCACCGCCGAGCACGTGGTAAATTATCACATAATCAAATTAAGGTAAATTAGCTGTTAACAATTTTTTGTGTCGGTGGGAATCGAACCCGGCCTACTCGAGTACTGTTAAATTCACCACGAACGCTTAGCTCTCGAGCTACCATAGCTTAAGCGTGGTTAGTATGAGCTAACCTCCTAAGTAACGCATTGGCACACTCTTAGGGATTCAAAAATTGTTGATATCATGATTATTTGAAAGAAATTATAACGATTTTGTAGAATACTCATGCATAATCAAAACTTTATTAAACTCTGTTTTAGAAAATTGTACATCTTTACGACGCCCTCCGGTCCGTCGTAAAAAGATGTAAAAACGAGAGTAACACATCTGCTGATAGTTTAATAAACTCAAACGAATCTTAACCAGCCCTTACTTCCGCGATCAACTTATAATGATTACTTTTTTTATCAACTAACTACTAGCACGGCCACCCACAATCCAAATAAATATTATTTATTCGTGTAAGAGCGAAGGGTAGTGTGGAAATGTGACACGTTGCACGAAAAAAATCACACCATGTGACTAAAATCAAATTGTTTTGTCCCTTACTAAATTGTTATGTGGGAGTGGGATAGGCACAGGGATCTTTTACGGATCGTTTTAGCCTAAAGCAGTTGTTACAATTTAAAAAAGCGTCATGGTACAACTGCACCGCCAACGCTTCCGCGTTTCATGGAGCTACTAACGAACCATAGATCCAATTAAGAACAGAACTGATTACATGTCCCTTGTGTTCACTAATGTAATATAAACATGAATAGTGAACTTTATTCATAATTTAATAAAGTTTACAAAATATAGCCCACCTGTAACATTCTCAAGACACACAAGACACGAGGTCAAAGCAGCTGTAGACGCATATTTTGACTCTAAGGAAGAATCATTTTTTTTTCAACGGTCTAAATGCTTGGAAGGGGAGGTGGCAAAAGTGTATTGAACTTGATGGTGATTATGTAGAAAAATAAAAATATAACTGATTTAGTATGTGTTTATTTTCTTGGTTAGGCCGAGTACTTTTCAATCCACCCTCGTATAAGTCCAAAAGTGCTTGAGTATGCTAAATCCCACTAGATAATATTGTTACAAAATATAGCCCACCTGTTGGTAAGTGAATGCAGTGTTCCAAAGACATCATCTACATCTATACTTGATTAATTGTACTGTGTACTAAAATGGAAGCTTCATTTCCAGTATAAAGGGGCCTTGGTTATCATTCGCCATACGGAACACAGCAGCATTTAGTACTAGAATCATCATATAGCTGCAGGTGTTTTCAACCACGTAGAAAACACATAGCTTATTTTTTCACCATAATCATTATTACACAGGCAACTTGTGTAGGCATCTATTAAGATAATATATACCTACATTGTTATCATTATGTTCATACCAGTCCGCTAAAGTAAATATAATATACATAGTCACACTCACTACAATAATGCAGCATACATGCACTATTTTAAGTCGCGATTTACCGATGACTTGGTGAAACTGTCGAAGTTAACATCAAGATGATCATTCAAGCTCAAAAAACTGATATAGGAATTTTATAATCCGCACAAATATATATTAGGTTCCCTTTGTATAGATTTATTATTTTTAACTTCTTTCTTTCTATTACTGTAGTACTTGTTATTTATGCGACGTAAAGCACGCTGTGGTTACTATAAATGTAAGAACATTTAGAAACTAACCACTATAGAAACGTGCAGTAGACTGTAAGTGCTGTAATGATAATCAAATAAATAAATAACAAGTAAGTGGTTGTTGAACTCGAGAATTTCATAACGAAAACACATAAATCGATCGTACTCGTTTTCATTATAGAATAATTTTACATACGAAATTCTTGGTGTTACCGGATGCAAGCAAAATATAAAACTATAAAAACACTATATGACTGAGTATAAACATTAAAAAACAAACTAGGTCAATCCTTTTTAATAAAAGTAAGCATAATCGTAATAATAATATTTCCCTTCTCGGACCCTATTCACACAAAATTTATGAAAAAAAAAATACATACACGTGACAGTTTTATTTCATTTTTACTGCTAGCAATATTAAGAACTAAATCTTGTCAACTATTTTGGATAAATAAATCAAAATCAAAAACAAAATATTATTATACAAAAATTAGTTTTTACAGAGAACTTTTTGAGAGTAAACGAAGCTACGATTTCGCTTCAACAAGTTAGTAATGAACAGCAGGAAACTCATAATTGACTTTTTTTCTCAGTTAAGTTACATTCAAAATAAAATAGTCTAAGGAAGCTCTTTATATCCAGCCAGTCGTATTTTTAAATTTAAATAATCATCTAACTTATAATATCCTTCTTTCATAACAATACTTTTATATGCGTTTTGGATTTATGCAAACGCCAATTATTTTAATAGTAATATTTAGGTACAGAGAATCTTGTTATAAATAGTTATAAATCTACTCAAAAATGAGCAGCTAATATTACGAAATATTTGAACACAAATGCACTTACTGACCAATCTAATGTACATGATTTCAAATTTATTTTAAACTAGCAGCTCTACCTATTGGGCCCAATCTAAGCCATCCACGGGTCACTTAAACACACAAAACATTTGATCAGAATCTAGACAGCAATTGATTTTTATATACAGAGATTATGAGACAATTATTCGCATGTACGCAAAGCCGATAAACAATAATATGTGTTTAGTCACAATAATTGTTCCAGTTCGAGTCCACAACTCAAGACCAAAGAATAAAGTAACTAAACCAAACTCATAACGTACACATAAGTACTCTATTATACTAAAACCGACAGTACTCAAATTCCCAAAGTTTTAACCTCGGTGTTCTCCATCAATGAAATGAGTAACTTTTTGTGACGGCTCCGTGTTGTTGTGATTGTTACGAGTTGTAGCACTGAGGGTCGCGGGTTGAATCCCGCAGGGAACAAGTATTTGTATGGTCTACAAATAATTGTTCCGGGTTTGGATGTTGGTCCTTGTGCACTTTATGTTTGTAAACTACCTCCACGATACAGGTGAAAATATTTGTGTTGAGGAAACGTTTTTTAAATAAAAAAATATATGTAGGTACTAAACGCAATACCGAATACCGTTATCTTGATAGGTACTAGGTAGTAACAAGATGTACTAGTATAGCATGGCGTCACTAACAAGGTTTCCGGGGTACCGAGTGAGGTTGGAACGGACTGCGGTAACGAGTCAG